CCAATATGTCTCCCAGTTTTCTTTAGCCTATGTCTCCAAAGACAGAGGAGACGCTTCAGATGAATTTCCTCCTCCTTCTTCCTACAAACTGTCTTATTTCAAGAACTGCGTTGTTGTGATTAGGTAATGAGTGACTGTGAGCAGGCCCTCTCAGTGAGTCAAGAAGAAACCTCAGATTGTGGATCATTCATTGGTACATCTCTGTTCAAAGTCAAAAATGAAATTTCCCTGGAATCTCAAGGTCCACAAACTCAAAACTACTCCATCTTGCAGAGAGTCACTAAGTCTGTTCCCCTCCCATTCAGACTCCAACAGCCGCTAGCTCAGCACTTCCACCACATCACCTGTTTGGCCTGAGGATGTGAAAAATAACTGGGTATCATCAGCGTATTAAGGATGCCAGACTCTAGGCCAACAGATGACCTCCCCCAGCAGTTCCATGTAGAAGCAGCGGTAAGCAGAGAGATCCCTGGGGCGTGCACAGAATAGATATCTTTGGACAGATTTCTCTTCCACCATCATGACCTCAGGAAGGAGGAGAACCACTGCAAAACAGTGCATTCCCTCAGTCATGTTGCAGAAGCCGGCCACAGCCAGTGGTACCAAAAGCCTCTGAAAGATTAAGGAGGGTTGCAATCCCCCAATCCTAGTCTCTCCATAAATCATCCATAAGTGCAACTCATGCAATTTCCATCCTGTATCCTGGCCAGAATCTGAGCATCAGCACTTTCAGGCGAGCCAAGTCAGGAATTGGACACCACAAAGTCTATTGGACCTCTGCAATGTTGTTGTGGGGCACAAGAAGAGAATCCTGAAAGCCTGTCAGAGTTGCCCACTGACCACTTTTATGGGATACAGAATCAAGACAGGATTATCTTTAATCTCTTAGGTAAGAAAAATGCTGAATTCCATTTCCTGTTCGCTCCTTTGCTCCATCTGCTCCCCCTATGCAGGATGCAACTTTCTCCAGAACCTTTCTTAAAAATGGAAGCTTGGAGAAGTTCCACAGTTGTTGAAAGCAGCTGGATGGAGAAGGCTTCCTGATCGGGGGGGGGGGGGGACACCACAGCCCCCTTCCTCCTGACCCCATGGAAATAACACCCTTTCTCCCCTCTTTTCATGAGGTCCTATGGTGCACACTGAATCCACCAGGAGGCACGCTCTGCAGAGAGGGGAGCACCATGTGCTTCAGCGTTGAGCCACTGGAGGGCGACGGCCACAGGTGGCTTTCCAGAGGAGGTTGGGAAAAAGACTGACATCACTATGACTTCCCTATCTAGGAAGCTGGGCTCTCTCTCTCTAACCCTTTGAGCTTCACAGGAGGTTAAAAAGGCTGCAGGAAAGTCTTACAGGGAAGAAATCCAGAGGAGGCCCTCGGTGAGCAGGGCCCTCTTCCCGTGCAAAGGGAGGCAGAGGGTTCCCGGGCTGGAGAAGGGAGAGAGGCAGCCACAGTCCTCATGCGGGTTCAATCTTCTGAGTCCTGGGAGTGGGTGAGCCTGAATCCCATGTTCCCCTGCAACCCCTCTCCTTCCATGTAACAGGCAGAGGGAAGCAGAGCTCCAGACCAGCTGTGCTGCCCCCAGGAACAAATCCAGGATGCCCAGGACGGAGGAGAGGATCTGTGGGAGCCCTTCGCACCTCATTTCCTGGGAAAAGCC